TGTATATTGGACAACTACATTGTATTTCACAAACATTTTAGAGTACCAAAAAGATGAAATCACAGTCAATTTAAAGCAAGCCCTGTGTCGAATTACACAACCGTGTCAAACTCTCACATGTGTATGAAGTAGTTAGGGACCCTTCTCTGGCCCTTTGCTTTCCCATCTTTGAAATGAGGAGATTGGGCCACACAATTTCTTTCCATTTTTATTGATGTGTCTGATTATGTATAACAAGGATTTGCAGGGCGGCGGCGGGGGGGCAGATAATCAATTTTCTCTCTGCCGTAGAACAGAAAAATATTTTGTAAAGTCTTACTCCGCCATCTCATTGACCTCTTTGGAAAAAAAGTCCTATGTGCTGTGTAGAAATCATCACCTTCTGATAACCTGCCCTGCCTGGTCCATCAGTACAGGTTCTAAGTTAGCCCATTGTGGGTTACACATCCAGGAAGTAAAAAAGCCAGATGTGAAGGCACTGCATTGCTATGAGAGATGGAAAGAGAGAGAAGGATCGATCACTCCATTCTCCGTCAATTTAGTGTTTGGGTGGGTGGGGGGTTGGAGGGGAGGGGAGGGATGACTTTTATGATCAATAAAATGATGAACTGGATTTTGCTTTCATTTAAAAGATTTACACTCAATGTAGGAGCAAATAAATCATTAATCATCCAGCTATCAACAATGGTTTCCTAGTCCTTGGGGATTAAGATACATTTGAATCAAAGCACCTACTACCCCGAATTTTGAAAAAGATTTCTGTAACATCCAGAACTTGACATATATAATGTGAAAACTTGTTCCAAGTCAGTCTATGCCTCTTTTCCTGTCCCCCACCCACCCCCCCCAGCCCAGAATGGGAATCCTTGTCACTTTTCTCCATTGTTTCAATGATGAAGAAAAAAAAATAAGTCCTTTCAAATTTATTTTGAAATTTACTGCCTTATCCATTACAAACTCGATTGTACGCAGCATTCTATGCAAGTCATGCGTGGATATGGTAGAATTCGCTGCTGTTAAAATTCGATTTGCTATTACTCCATGGGGACATATTTCTGGGCACTTGACTGTGCATTCCAGTCTCTTGCCATATTGCCTACCCCCTTTTCCTTCTTGTCTTTTTGGCACCTCCTCATGTCCAACCAATTTAGCTATCTCTGTTGTCGTCCTTAAGACATTAATCTTAGAATCACCCTTTCCCAATCCTAAGTGCTCAGCAACGCATTTGCCAAAACCAGAAACAGACTCTTCTGAGTTGAACTCAAGGGTCCATATTAAAATGATATACAGACAAACAGGTATGAAATTGTGAGTGTGTATATGCATGAATCCCAATTCATATTCAGTCAAATTTGCACATGTCCTGAAGTCTTTGGAAAATGTGCCGTTCTATAAAAAGACGCCCACACTTAACGGTTCTCTGTACAACACGCAATTGTTACTGACATTGCTGTCCGGCCGCCCTTTTCGGGTGACAGAGGACACTGCTGTGAGCAGAGCCGGTTGCCTGGGAAAGCCAGCCTCCCCTGTGACCCACTTCCCCACATTTGAAACGTCGGTCCCATGTCTCACCTGGCAGGAAGGGAGCCGTGGGGAGAGCTCTGTTGGCCGCTGACCCATCGGCAGCAGGCCTGCCCAGGGAATGAGGCAGTCGGTGCCTTTGCAAGGCCGTCCTTTGCCTTTCCCTTTGTATTCTGTGAATATACAGAGGTTCAAAGAGTAAGAAATGGTCTTTCTTGTCCCCTGTGATTCCTCGTAGGCCCCTATATCTGCGGCCACTTATTCAGAACAGCCTCGTCAGCTGCGTGTGGTGCAGGGTGAGGTATAGGCACGTGCATGCTTTGCATTGTGCTTACCGCAGGAAGCTTGAACTAAGCAAAGCACAAATGAGCCAAGTTAGAAAGAGAGGAGGGCATCAGGTTCATCATCGGTGCCTTTAAATATCAGGCAGGACTAGGAAGTATGCTTTAAAAGATTTTCTTTTTCTTTTTCCAATTAAGTCTTCCCAAACAGATCTCTCCCAACCATGGTATGCACTGTCTTGTCTTCCTGATTTCCCTTTTTTGGGTCTAAGTAATGCAAGCAAATAGGCATTGTGTTTACAAACAGCCATATGGGACAGGAGAGCTCACATTACCAGTGACCGTTAGGGACCTGGCAATGGGTTTTCTTGAACCTACTCTTAAAATCAAGCCATTACTTGTGCAACCCGTCTTGTAACTTCTAGACTCAAGACATAACAGAGCAAAAACTTGTGCATTTGATAAAGTCTCAGTGCGGGTGTCACACAGGCCGACAAGGTGGGACCCCAAGAGGATGATTCGAGTCACCCGATTGTTTCAGAAATCCCACCAAGTTTACCTGACCCAGATCATAAAGACATCCAACCAACATTTTGCGTTGAGCTCTGATACAAGTGATTCAATGAGACTCTGGATTTAAAGTTGTATAAGTGTATTTATTTATTTATTTTGAGAGAGAATGAGAGAGAGGGAGAAAGAGAGGGAGGGAGGGAGAAAGCAGGGGAGGGGCAGAGAGAGAGGGAGAGAGAGAATCCCAAGCAGGCTACATGCTGTCAGTACAGAGCCCAACTGGAGCTTGATCTCATGAACCGTGACCCGGGCTAAAAGGAAGAGTTGGACCCTAACGGGCAGAGCCCCCCAGGCATCCCTGGATTTAAAAGTAAGTTGAATACAATGGAATTTCACTTTGCGCCTATTTACCTAATGGCTTTCTCCTTTGTTCGTGTTACTTTGAGTTTATACCAACTCCGTCTTTTCTTGTTCTCGATGTCTATTTGGACAACTGTGTCAAAATAGCTTAATCCCAGGCACCAGCTAGGGAAGAAAACCTCCTTTTTTTTTTTTTTTTTTTCCTCCCCTGTAAATCCAACACAGTTCCTTTTCTGTTGCGTCTGCCCCGCAGACTACATTTGTTAACATTCTTGGTGATTTCCATAAAGATGCCCACATGCAAGGTGGTGGTTGAAATATCATTTGTGCGAACGTATAGCGTAGAAAGAGGGCTCCAGAACAGAGGAGGCCCTTGGGTGGGCCGCTCTGAGGCACACTGGCGATTCAGGGGGCTCAGCTCCAAGGCCAGACTCTCTGAAGACTTATCTCTGGTACGTGCAAAGAACCCCTTTATTCCTCAAAGGAGGTTTAGAGAGCCTTCCTCTTTGAAAGACTGTGTCTTCCCCAGTTAAATGTAAACTGGTCATAAAGGCAGTAACCGCTGTCCTGGGTGGAGAGAAGGACAGGGTTTGCCGTAGCAGCTTTAGAGTCCCTCCAGGTTTAAAGGCCTTGGGGCTCCTTGACAGCGACGCTGGGCTCCACTTGTAAGGACCTCAGCCCTGGCTGCTTGGCCCACATGCCGGGTTATCATCAGCTATGACTAAGCCGGAGCCAGGTAGGAGAACAATGGCATTGTTTTGTCTCCTCACATGACGAAAGAGCAGTATGGGCACACTTTTTCTCTGTGACTCGGAGATGCATTCTCGGAATCCAAATAAGGAGACACGTCACCTGCAGAGAGTGGGGTTTCCTCCGCCACCAGTGGGAGCTCCTCGCCTAATTCTTCCCCAGAACTGATCCACCGGAAGATGAATTTCAGCCACTGAAGGGAACCCACAGTGTGTGCGTGCTGTGTGTGTGTGTGTGTGTGTGTGTGTGTGTGTGTGTGTGTGTTTCCCTTATGGGGTTTACAAAAAAGCGTTAAAAAACCCGAGCAAAAATTCAGAAGGGATTTCTAGTGCCTGAAGCAGCAGGAGCAGGGGCTTTAATAAGGACGGTCTGGGGACAATTCTACTACGAGGCTAACTCAGTTACACCAAACTCTCCCCAGCACTGTCAAGACTGGCTCTTTGGAGGTTTGAGCTATGTCAGGGCCTCACCGAAGCTTCGCGGCTGCTCGAGGCCATGCAAGGCAGCACAACCTTCTCGCCACCCCCTTTAGAGAGACAGGTCCCTTTTCTCTCCAACTGCTATCCCTTTCTGGTGCAAGGAGCTTGGGGAGACCTTCCGCACTCCACTGTGCACAGAGGTTTTCTTTTTTCTTTTTGTGTGTTTGATTGATGAGAACAGGAAGGAAAGGAAAGGATTTTGAACAACAGAAATAGAGAAAAAAAGAAGATGCGTGTAGAGATTCAGCGTATGTGGAAATACTTAAGTTTCTAAACTCCGGCAGTTCACATTGTTAATGGGTCCTGTTGGCGGTATTGCCTGTGGCTTGAGGGGCTCCGTCAAGACTTCAGGGACTTCTCCAGCTTTCCTCAAGTCACTCTGGGTGTGTGTGTGCAAGGGGGGGAAACATGGCGGAGAGATTACGTTGGTTTCTGTTGTGGTGCAGGTGGGGCCATGTGTGATTGCCTCACCCTTGAGTACAAAGGATATTCAATCAAATACCATGATCAATAAACACCAAAGGGAAGTCTCCATGGTGGGAGTGGACATGGCTGGGAGCCAAAAAAAAAAAAAAAAAAAAAAAGCAAGAAAATTGGCCCCATCTACCCTCAACATAAAGTGGATCCCTGCCTATGCAATAATTACTGTCACCTCATGAACTCGGTCTTTTCTTCTTGTTCCCATACTCAGTTTCAGCGAGAGAAAAGAGGAGGGGTCTGTAAAGGAACGATAAAGGTAGAGGGGTTATAAAATGTACCCAGCTGCCATCCTGCTTCAGAAACTCATGCTGTGCCCCCTCCCCACGCCCGCCTTTTCAGAAGAAACCCCGAAAAACTAATGAGAAAAAAATTGAAAGTCCATGAGAAAAAAAAAGAGAGAGGTTTTGCCCCCGTCTTTTGATGCATAGAGCCTACCAGATACAGATGTTCCTGAGCGGAAAGCATAGTGAATAGTAAATGAGATGACAGAGTATGTTCTCTAAAGTGGAGTTGTCTTAACCAGGATTTAGAGTTCCTCTTAGAAAAAAGAAAGAGCTCTGAAAAATCGGAAGATAAGCCTAAGGAAAGCAGGCTGGGGCAAGAAAGACCGGAATCTAAATACATTTACTTAAGTTTGTATTTATATACAAAGAAATACCAACAACGGTCTTTATTAGAAGAGTTGTACTGGGTTTTTCTATATGCAGTTTATCGTGTTCTTCCTCTCCCCCACCTAAAGAAAAACAAACTTTAAGACTATGCACACTTTTTTCAGGATGAGAAGAGAGAGGAAATCATGTTTCTTTGGAACCAAAGGTCAAAGGGGAGGAGCACAGAGAGACGGTGAAATGATCAGCCAGAAAGTGAACTTTGGCCCCCGGGGGGCCCTAACCTGTGGTTCTAGATACGGCTTCCAAGATTCTCATCCTGTAGCTATTGAATCAAACACTAACCTAGGGGCCGTTGGGAAGGGATTGTTGGGATGTAATTAGCTATGGAGAGGATTCCAGTGGGCACAGCCCAGCCGGGCAAGCCCTTGACACGCACAGGTTTTCAGGCTGGTGGAGGAGGTCAGAGCGATGCAAAGAGAGAGGGAGACTTGGTGGAAGTTTGGCAGGAGGGTGGAATTCACCTGCTGTCGCGTTACTAGAGGGCTTCCCAGTAAAGAATGGGAGGCGGTCTCAAGACCTGGGAGCGGCACCTGCTGACAGCCAGCAGGGACGCAGGGTCTCTCAGTCCGGCAGTCTCCAGGTACCGACCTCTGCCGGTGACCTGGAGGACTGCAGGAGGCGGGGAGCTCCAGGTGGAGCACAGCCGGCTGACCCTGGATTTCACCCTCCAGAGAGACCCGCGGCAGAGAACCCAGCTCCACCCTCCTGGCCTCGGGGCTTGGGGACCTGCAAGGTCACACACAGGTGGTGTGGTAGCACTGGGACTGCCGTACTTGGTCACGACTGCCACACACACTCCCTCCTTACAGAAATCAAAGTGAAAGGAAAAGAGGAGCAAGTGACCTTGCAGTTCCTTCCTCCTCCATAAAAGGAGCTGGATTTTCTCCTCCGGTTCCTGACACAGGGCCAGCTGAGGGTCCGCGCCACAGGCCATCTAAAGTCCCCACGTCCTCACCGGAGCCTCTCACGACGGCCTGTGCTAGAGTGAGCCCCATGCCCACGTCGGAATGGCACCGGCTCTTCCAAGATAAGATTTCTGAGACATCTTTCTCTTTGTGCGCCCCCCCCCCTTTTGAACGTGCACTTCAGTTTGTGAAGGAAAAGCTAAACCCTTGTGAGATAGCACCCCTGCATTTCTTAGAGTATACGCTCCCAAGTTGCAACTAAATGAGCCGCGAAACGCAAAGTGTTGGCAGATGGGAAACCCCCTTCAGTGTGTGCGGGTGTGCTCCCCAAATGACCTTCCTTTTAATTTGCTGTCATGTCAACTGCAGATTGATTAATAGAAAGGACTGGAAGTGTATTCTATATAGCAGGGGATAAAAAATGCCGTTTTCCTCTTGTTTTTGTTTGACATTGGAAATCAGGGAAGAGATTGTTAGGGTAATAAGTATACAGTGTCTTCCAGGGAATACTAATAATCTCTGTCCCACCCCTTCGGAGCAAATAAATAACCTCATTATTACCATAATGAAAACAAGTTGGGGAATTTCCCAAGGACACGTGGAGACAAATTCCGTCTTCCTATCTCCCTGCCCAACATCTTTGGCGTATAGAACGAAAGAAAGCATAGAACCACCAGAAATCGTTTTTTCTCCCCTTACTTCGTTTCACTGCTGGACACTGTTTCTGTCCACATTCTCTTTCTTTTTCTTTTTCTTTTTTTTTTCCGAGCCTCGACATGGAATCCAGTTATTAGGAAGTAAATTAAAAAGAAATGTTCTTGTTATATTTCCTTGTCAATAGGCTGTCCGTGTTGGCAGGGATTCTAAAGTCGAGACACTTATGAAAGCAGCGGGAACCTAACTTAAAAATTACGTAGAGAAGTGGATGAAGTAAGACGTCACAGTGTGAGCTCTCTGCCTGCCGAGCACTTTAAATTTTCTCTCTCATTTTTTTTTTTTTTAATGATCTAAAAATATCCAGGGCAGATCAACTGGGACTGCAAATAAAGAAAAGAGGCATGGGGGGAAATGCAACTCGAGTTTTTGGAAATATTTATATTTAAAAAGAAAAGAAAAATGAAAGGACATTTTAATCAACATTTTCTCGGTTATTATGAATATAATATACCCAGAATTTTTATTTCATGGCTTTCTAATTCAGTTGTATAGCTAATGGTTGTAGACTATGGTAGCATTTTAAGCCCTCATTTCCTGTATCTTTATCTTTTGTTATTTATTTCAAAAATCCAGGAATATCTATACAAATTACCCTGGATAGATGCAAATCTATGGAAATAGAGAAACCCAGTTAGGCACAAGGATCTGACTTCATTACTCTACCTCTGGCTTGAACCCATTGTCCTGTAAGCTCAAAGTTCCATAATATTTAATTCTGATACTCAAAAAAAAAAAAAGTGAATTCATTCTAAAAAACCAACCAAACCACCTATAGGTATTATTTTCTGCAGGCATTGGCTATTTGATGTGTATGGGAGTTTTAGTGGTTAAGGATATGATTGCAAGCCTGTGGGTTTTTTTTTCAAGGCTTGGTAAAATCAATCTTGTTTTGTGAGGTTGGTTTGATTTAGTAATATTTTGTGACAATTAAGGAGTCAATCATGGAAAATATATCCTAGCTAATTAGAGACCCCCCCCCTTTAATATGAGATTAAATAGATCCTTACAATCCTTTGGGAGATTATACCAAAATTGCACCTATCTGATGCATATTTAAAAAAAAAAAACAGAAATTAGTTCATTTCATTATTAAATCTTAAGGTAGGCGGTAGGTATAATTTCCCCAAATGCCTGATGGACTCCCACGTAGTAGCTTCTGTGATGAGAAAGTGTGACTCACTCAGCCTACGGATGAACTGCTCTTGGTCGTTTTGTCATCATTTTGAATGCGGCGGGCTTCGACTTGGATAAGTCTCCATAAACCTAAGTGGCTCAAACCATATCTTATTTAAAAGTCTTCATATCATTTCCCAAGCCCATGAAATAAGTGGAATTTAAATTTCGTTTTGGTCCCTTGTAAAAGCACCATCGTTCTCTTTATTTGGAATTTCAGGAAAATCACCTGGGGTAACATAAGAGTAGAAAGAAGAGAGCCACCATTTATCTCTGACCCCACGCCAGGCACAGCGCTACGAAGCTTGCATATTTCATTCGTCATCTGTCCGCTCACAATGCCAACCTGCTGATACTCTTTAGGAAGTCACAGTCAAGAATCAACACAGGGGGCGCCTGGGTGGCGCAGTCGGTTGAGCGTCTGACTTCAGCCAGGTCACGATCTCACGGTCCGGGAGTTCAAGCCCCACGTCGGGCTCTGGGCTGATGGCTCAGAGCCTGGAGCCTGTTTCCGATTCTGTGTCTCCCTCTCTCTCTGCCCCTCCCCCGTTCATGCTCTGTCTCTCTCTGTCCCAAAAATAAATAAACGTTGAAAAAAAAATTAAAAAAAAAAAAAAAAAAAATAAAAAAAAAAAAAAAAAAAAAAAAAATAGAATATAAGTTGTGAACAAATTCAAGTTTAAAACCCACACAAATACATTCCTATTAGCGATACGCAAAATATTACCTGCTGCAGTGTGAAGCAAGAATCCTTTCCCCCTCTGGCCAGTCCCCCAGAAGGACACACATGATTGACGTTTAGGTTTTGGCTCTTAAGAACAAAGGGACAATGTATACAGTCTGTTTCCTTTGATAGCAGCTCTACTCTTTGTGTCTTATTTCCCCTCTTTCATGAGAAATCTCTTCTTTGTTTTCGAAATCTAGGCGTATATATGCTTTGCCTTTTTCTTCCACGACCTAATTCTAACAAGTATCTTCCAAATGTCTCTCCGATTTCTCTGGAAAGAGGACTCACCCGGCAAACTTACCCTTCGGCATGAATTTATCCCTACCAAAGCTTATCTCTGCTCTCTGAGATCTCATTTTTTTGGAGTTCCTTTCCCAAGAGAGAGGCCTGCTTGTGATTTAAGCTCTTGCTAAACATTGATATTTCCACATGTTCTCAGTTGAACACATGAAAAGTGTTTTATTTTGTTTTCTAACCTGACACAAATTTACTTCTAAATGAATCAGGAAAAAATTGTGGGATTTTTTTTTTCTTTTTGAGATATAGCAGCACAAGATGATATTACTAAGGATGTTTGGTTTATAGTTAACTTTTGTGCACAGACCTCTGCCTTACATTGGAAATCTTTCCAGTAACTACTGACTCAGACTCGCCAAGAGTTACTAAATAAAGGCAAAGGTATCTTGACTGAGGGCCCAACTTTATGTCAACTCTTCCTTCTGGCAACTTGCATGAGCCTACATGTCACAAGTTTAGGGCTTGGTCCAAGATTTCTCTTCCACAGATACTGGCTTAACTTCGGGACTTTTCTATTTCCTCTGTCAGTGTGCCCGAGCCTGTGGTTTTACTTAGTATGTGAATAAATATCTCCAGTCCCTGTTTCTGGGATGATAACCATTCAGGTGAATAGGGGAAAGGTACACCATAAACTGTTGACTGAAAAACACATCCTATGTAAAAGGGCACTAGAATCTTCTTCAATTTTTCAATGAAATCTAAAACACTTCCAACATTGCTTCAATTAATTATTGAAATCTAAAAAACAAAAAGGCCCGAGAAGACGTTTATCCCAATTATTTGGCTTATCAAAAGAAAACCATACAAAAGGGCCCTTTAAATTTTCTCAACAGTTTCTCACCACAGCAGAAGTTTGTTCTTCTCTTTGCCTGGAAGGCTGTGTCTCTCCATATTCACTTTCTAAGCATTGCAGCCCGTGTTCAGCACTCCCTCCTCCCACACAGGTAAGTCTTTATTCTGTCCACCTGTCCTACAAGGCCATTTCTGGCTATTGCTTCTCCCTTCACACCAGACTCAGGACGTAGGACACTTCCAACCACTCTCTCCCACCTCCCTGGAGGGCATGTAACCCAGAGAAGCCAGCCAGGCACTGTCCATCCATCACCACTTGGTTCCCAGCCATGGGTCCTCTGCCATAGAGGAGCGTGCTGGACATGGGACATGTGGAATTAATTGTAGCGTCTTTAGGCTACAACCTAGCAAGTTGCTAAATGCTTATCTGTGCGCTAGGATCAACCAAATGTTCTGCCATTTCACTACAACCCTCTGTCTGTGCTTGACTCTGCAGGTTGAAAAGCTAAACTACGTCTCCCTCACCAAGCGTAGTTGAATTCTAGTCCCAAAGCTTACCACTGTACCAATATCATCTTCCTCTGCACATTCTAAGCTCTGCGGTGTGCACTCCCAGCTGCTTAGCTCTCCTGGGAAAAACTCAGATTTGGTATATCCCCTTACAACGCCAACAGTCGTGACTATCAAACTTAGAAACCCCAGCGACTTAAGATACATGGGAAGTCACTTCTAATTCACATCAAATTTGATCTGTACCAGGGAGAGGGGGGTTAGGGCACAAAAGCAAAGGAGCCTCTACATCATGGAGGGAGTCAGGCTTCCCAGCAGGGGCAAACTGCCTTCTTCAACATAAGCTTCCATGTTGCCGACATCCAACTTGCTGGATGGTATGGGGTAGAGGCGGAGTAGAGGACCGCCCAGGACATTTTTATATGCCAGGCTTCAGAGTGGTAAATATCAGTCCCTGGCCATGCCTAATGACAGGGAGGTAAGAAGACACAGTCCCTCTCTGAGCTCAGGGGGAAAGAGAGGCAGGTGAAGTGAGAAACTGACCGATCTATAACGGAAATTTAACTGTCACATCAAGAATGTTCTTATTGTTTTTGCTCTAAGTTTCGGTGCCTGCTTGGAGTGCTCCCCCTCCCCCATGTGCAAACAAAACAAAAGTAAGCAAACAAAATACCAATATTTATTCTCAGGTCCCTTGTCTTTTGTTTTCCCTGGCGCAATACAATAAAGACAGCCTCTTTGCTACTTGAAAAGGGCAAAAGGAATGATGGGCACAAGGAAGAAATGGGCAGTCAAATTTCAATATAGAAAAAAATATTATCCTAGTACTTACATATGCACAGAGAATGCTTAACTTTTGGGTGGCTTTTATTTCAACGGAATATTCCCCTGAATGTCTGGCTTCGTACCGTGAGCTGGCAATACACTGAGCACTGTACATAAATTATTTGATTGAATCCTCTCAATCCCTGGGTAATGGGCACACTTATTACTTCCATTTTTCTGAGTGATTGAAATGACTTGTTGAAGGTTCAATGATCCTCCTTCTGGTTTGGCTTCCTGAGGACCCAGTATCTATGTTGGAACGCTTAGAACCGATATATCTTGCCTATAGAATCAGTGGGCTATTGTATTTCATAATGAAAAATATTTCACATGCTCTAAGAAAGCAGGTGTTTTAAAGAGATCCAGGAGGAAACATTTTCCTAAGTCAAGGTTTTGTCCCATAACTGCTATTTTTCTCATAAATGAAACACATGTTTACTGTAGAGTACCTCCTTCCCATTCAGTTGTAAAAAGGAAAGTGTTAATAGCATTAATTATGGCCTCTACCCCCTCCCCGAGGCTAACTAGAGACAAGTCTGGGAGAGAACAGTAAATAAAATGCCTCAAACAAATGGAAAGGAAAGGAGACATGGAACCCAGCCTGAATGTTTTCGCTCGAATTGTATACGCTTATTAAGGATCCTGACGATCGGGTAGGGTTCTGTGCACGAGGAGGGAACTGAAAAAGAAGAAAGGATGATGGTGAGGTTGGGGGGAGGAGGGGAGAAGCGGAGGGTGGGGGGAAGGAAGGAAGGGAGAAGAGAAGGTCTTTGAGGAAACCATGGGAAAAAGCTCAGAGGTGAGAAGATAAAATCAGAGCTGGAGGCTAAATTCCACCTGTGGAATATTGGGTGATTACTATTGACCTGTGGTGAACGATGTTAGGCTGAAGACAGGAACCAACAAGTACAGACACGTGACTCTGGAGGAGTAGACGGTACTTGTGTAAGAGTGGAGGTCCAGACACATATCAGCATAAGGGTACCATTTCCCCACTCAGGACCCTTCAACTGCCTCTTTTTTTTTTTTTTTTTTTTTTTTGATGTTTCGATTTTTTTTAAGTTTATTTCTTTATTTTTGAGAGAGACAGAGAGAGAGCGAGAGCAGATGAGGGACAAAGAGAGTGGGGGGCGGGCGGAGAGACAGAGAGAGGATCCCAAGCAGGCTCCACACCGTCAACACAGACTCTGACGGGGGCTTGGTCCCACAACCCTGAGAATGTGATCTGAGCCGAAATCAAGAGTCGGACCCTTGACCGACTGAGCCAAGCAGGTACCCCTATTACTGATTAGCAGATAAAGAATATAATCTTACCTACTAACCTTTAAGTCAGATATCTTTTGTCGCAGGGGATTGTTGCAAAAATGAACTGGACGGATATATGGGAAAATATTGTCTAAACACTAATGCTCTTTAGCAATACCTGTCTCATCTCCCTTTACTGGGCCAATGAACCCGTTTTCTCCACCAAACACCTCTTGCATGTTTATGCCCGTGTAACCTTCTGTTCACATCCGCAGCTATTTACAAAGTTAATTACACATCAGCATAAGAAATAGCTGGTTGCCTGTGCGAGGGGAGTTCGGATTTGAGAAGTAAGTAGATAAGAATCTCTGTCCACCTTTCATCAGATCATGTGGAACTTACTCCTACTTTTGAAATCTAATTCTCCTTAGACCTCTGAAGCCAGGCAGAGCTCTCTGTCCCTCTTACCCTTTACAGCGCCGTTTGTATTTAGTGCTTGCGTCAAGGCTTTAGAATTCTAAGCATCTTGCGTATATAATCCCTTAGATCTGAGTCTGATATTTGAAAATATTTGATTCGGTTTTTAAACTCTTTTTACCAACATCCAACTGTTCATCTGCTTTTCTGTCTTACTCTGCTGGGATGAAATTTCCTTGAATCTCCTATTTCCATATGAGATTCTCATGTTGAAATTGCTTGTATCTCATATTTTCTATGCTATCACCTGTGCACATGAGTGTGTCTGACACACCCCGGGCACAAAAACAGAAGATAACTGTTGCGTTAGGACTTGCCACCCCCACGTGTTCTGCTCACATCCCTGGAGCAAATAGCCCAACGCACTCCTATCAGTCCAGTTCATTAAGGTTCTTGTCAAGAAAACATGGCTAGCAAACAAAGAATCTTACATTTGAGCAACACCACCCTTGTCCCAGAATCTTTTAGCAATGCCATGAGGAGGAAGAAAAGAAAGGTGTGAATGATATTGGAAAATCAAGACAGTAATAACGCATGATCAGATATTTAAGACAAAGCCACTGGAAGGCCATGGGTCCGCTCATCAAATACCGGTAATAGGAAGAAAGAGGGGAATAAGGAAGAAAGGTGCTGGGAAAAGACAATGGCCCACTAACCAAATGTGACAGTGGATTAGGAGAGGTGATTGAAGGTAGAAGATCAAAAATGAGAAAAGGAAAAGGCTGGAGCAGTGGAGGGGAAAGAATTGAAGTCAGTTTCAGCAGCTATGGTTCCAGTCTCAGCTGCCCAGACCATGGGCCTGGTGACCCTGAGGAAGCCTCTTCGCATGGTGAAGTCAAACCCTGTCAACTACTCAACGGAGACAGCATCAGTTGGTGGTCCATGCTTAGTGTTTTGTGGGGATACGTGAGAAACTATTTTGAAAACTGGAAGTGGCTTTACGGGTGTAGCCTTATTATTGCACGTGTTAAGGTTCATTTTTTCTTCCAAATTAATCGTCACAGAGCCTGTGTCTTCGCCTGTAATTGCTTTTCTTTGGCCAACAAGGAGCCAAGAGAGATCAGTGCACATGGAGTTGCAAAGTGCACCTGTTATCGTGTGTGTCCCCACTAAAGTTATGTGCGGGGCACCTTGGCGGCTCGGTTAGTTAAGCATCTGACTCTTGATTTTTGGCTCAGGTCATGAGCCTAGCAGGGCTCTGCACTGACAGCTTGGAGCCCGCTGGGGATCCTCTCTCATCCTCTGTCTCTGCACTTGCCCCACTCACTCTCTCTCTCTCTCTCCCAAAAATTAATAAATAAACTTTAAAAAAAACCATAAAGTTTGAGGTTCCTGGGGCTCAGTTGGTTAAGTGTCCAACTCTTGGTTTC